TGTTCCGGATTCAATTATGAATCTCGGTCTGTTCGTCACCGGCGTGATGGCAGCATCAGCCGGGTCGGATCGTGCAGCGCCACAGGGGCGCTGCGCGCGCATGCCCGATCGCGACGCGAGGCGACCGCGCTTCTTCACGCTCGTTTCCGGCACTTTTCTGCTCATGGCTACGGTACGAAGTACACGCGTCGTGCAGTGCTAAGGACATTAGTGTGCTCTCGTGGACTTTTCTCAGCGAAGACTAGACTCAGTGTGGACAAAGAGAGGACTCAACAATGCGACTCAACTCAGGCAGCTCGGGATACAGCATCACCGGCGACTCAGGCTCACCACGCATCGCGCAAGCCGGCGCCGCGTGGACACGGCTCACGGGCATCTACATCGCGAGGCCGGTGTTCGATCAATAATATCGACCCGTGCAAGTGATTTAAGGACTTCTCATTCACCGCTTATTCATAGACTGCTCACGGTAAGCTTCTTTCATTTATTAAACTGGGACACGATACTTTTATCCAATCTACACGAGGTACGATCACGTGATTTCCACCCTCGCAAGCGTGCATCCGTTCCCTGAGCCTCTCACCGCTAAGTCCTCTCACCCTGCGTCCACCAGCAGCGGTAACCGCAGCGAACTCGCCTCGCGGGATTCGCGAACAATTACCGATATATGACTATATTGTATTATAGAGTGCTGTTACACAGAGTGCTTAATCGGGTTTAATAAGTGTACATGTGGTCTCGGGGCGAAGAAAGAAAGAGCAGATGCGTCTATAAGCTCTTCTAGCCGGCAGAAGTTGGCCGAACCGCCGGGCGCACACGTACGCGGCTGCTCGCTTGTGTGAGTTATCCCCTCACCGACCACAGCGCCCTGCAAAAGTAGCGGAGTTTGCATCACTGCTTACCGGTTGTCTGCGCCATGTTCTCGTTCCTGGTCGTTCCTGTGTCTGCCATGTGCCGCTTCACGAGGATGCTTTGTTAATCCCAGGTAATCCTCCTTTCTCTTTCGGAAATTATATTCCATAAGAAAGTAAAGTTATTTAAGAGTATTTTTGTATGTATTTTTAATAATATTTTTCACACATCGTTAATATTCGATACGATTTTTAAAAAATCACAAATTTGAGGTTACTTTACAAAGTCACATAAGAAACATAAAAAATAGTACGTGTAACATTATTGTCTCAAGATAAACGCCCCACCCTGTATACACAAATAATATTATTTTATGTATATTTTACAGTTTTTCCGTTAAATCGACAGGTACGTCATATGTATGTATTCATTGATTAAAAGTAGATTTGGGGACAATTATGTCACGCAAAGATTTCTGTGATTTGTCTCAACGGCAAAAACGACGAATTGTATTGCAGGAAAGTGATATATCCCTTTATCGGTCTCAAAAGATTAAAAAAATCTGCACAAAGGAAAAAAATAATGCAAACATTAATAACTGTAATTCAGAAAATGAGAGTGCAAATATTAATTGTTCTAATTCGGATATGAGTTCCATTGAAGATAATTTTAATGAAGATGAATCATTGTCAGATGCAACTGATAATGAATCATTGTCAGATGCAACTGACAATGATTTTCAGAGCTTATCATCAGAAGACGCTTTAAATACTGAAAAATCTTTACTTGATGAATTAAGATCTTGGGTAATTAAACACAAAATTAGTCAGAGTGCGGTAAATGATATGTTACGAATTTTGTTAAGAAAGAATATAAGCGTTCCAGTCAATTGTAGGACATTGATGAAAACTCCACGTGATACATTGTTACTAATAAGACAAATGGATGACGGAAAATACATTCATTTAGGATTTGAAGAAGGTTTGAGACATTCGATTAAAAAATACTTTCAACCTTTATGTCCAGCAGAATTGAAAATAAATATAAATATCGATGGCCTACCTATTTCAAAAAGTTCTGGTAGTCAATTTTGGCCAATTTTAGGTGCTATAGTTGCAGATTTCTACACTGAACCATTTGTTATTGGCATTTATCATGGTAATGCAAAACCAAAAGATGTTGATGTTTTTCTAAATCCATTTGTAAAAGAAGTAAAACCCATTCTTGATAACGGATTGAATATTAATGAAATAATTATTTGTATTACATTAAATGCTATTATATGCGATGCTCCAGCTAAATCGTTTATTTGTGGAATTAAAGGTCACACAGGTTATTTTAGTTGCACAAAGTGTATACAAGAAGGTGAATTTATCAACAACAAAGTCGTATTTTTAGAACAAAATTCAACCTTGAGGACGGATCATTCATTTCAAACTAGACAGCATGAAGAACATCACATTGAAAAATATTTAAGTCAAGCAACTTCTTTAGAAACGTTAAACATTGGAATGATTTCAGCCGTGCCATTAGATTGCATGCATCTAATTTTTCTTGGTGTTAATAAAACAATGCTTCGATTTTGGATTAAAGGTGCGAGAAATATACGATTGACTTCTGTTTTATTAGATCAAGCCCAACAACGTAATAATAAATTGAAAATGTGCATACCCATTGAATTCGCACGTCGTCCAAGAGATTTGTTAGATACAGATCGGTGGAAAGCAACCGAACATAAGCTTTTTGTACTGTATACGGGAATAATTATAATGAAAAAAATACTACCTAAAAAACTATATATACACTTTGTCTGTCTGTGTGTTGCTGTAAGAATTGTATCGGATAAACAATATAAGCATCTGATTGATTATGCACAATCTGTTATTGAATACTTTGTTAACAAATTCCGTCAGTATTATGGAGATCAATATTTATCACACAATGTGCATAATTTAGTACACATATGTGAAGATGTTAAACGGTTTGGAACCATTGATTCTTATTCTGCCTTTAAATTTGAAAACTACTTGTATACAATAAAAAGATCGTTAAAAGTTAGTCGAAAACCTTTGGAACAGATAGTTAACAGAATTATAGAAAAAAGAAATGTTGAGGAAAGTTTTTCAAATTTATCAAAAAATTATCCGATAATTCATTACAGTAAAAGCAGAACAAAAATCAATAGGGTTGAGTTTGATGGATTTATCTTGTCATCCAAAAGTCCCAATAACTGTTGTATTCTTTCAAGCGGTACAATTACAACAGTGAATGATATTTATATAAAAAATAATATTCTATACTTTACTGTAAGACAACATCTATCTATTAAATCTTTCTTTGATTCTCCATGCGATTCAACGGTGGTAGGAATTTATGAGTTATCTGAAAGTGAAGCAGATTTATCACATGCTACTGTTACAGCTGATCAAATTTTACGTAAATGTTTAAAAGTAGATAATATTATGTCTTCTGATGATAATTCAAGTATAGTTATTAGCTTATTGCATTAAATCCATAAAGATAGCAAATAATGTTAATGTTTGATTACATTAACGTTTCTTATTTGTACTACTCATGTCCTTTGTGTGATTTATTATATGATGAAATATATATATATATATACATACATACGAGTG